TTGGGACAAAGCACGTCCCCGAGCGCCCCCCAGCCCCCACGCCGCCTGCCGGCCTTCGACAGCTGCAGGGCTCCGGTCCCCAGACAGGGCAGCGCAGGCATGTGGTGGTGCACGTTCTCAAATGTGGCAACAGGAGGGGACGTCCGAGGCCTGACGGGAGCTCCTGGCCAAGGGAATCCTCGGAACCCCTGGCAGGCCTGTCGGCCTCTCTGTCCCTTAGGCAGGACCAGCTATCCACCTCAGAGCCTCCTGCCCCATGTGGGAGAGGCTTCAGGCAAGCCGGGCTGGGGAGGAAGCCAGGTGAGACTCTCCCACCGGAAGCGCATCCTTGTTGGCCTTTTCACCTCAGCACCTGCAGCCCTGCCCTCCCTCTGACCACTGGCGAGTCTTCAGAGAGCTTTGCCTTTTGGTGTGAAATATGGGGCTTGTGAAATCCAAACTCACTTCTCATTTGGCCCAGAACCACACCCACCTCCCCCAGCAAGGAGAGGTGGCCCAGCATGGCCAGTTCCGGAGTCTGGGTTCCGCTGGAATCTGACAAGCCCGTCTTTGGCCTCTGAGTTGGGTCCTGATCCTTGGGTTGTTCGGTCGCCCTCCCCGCCGACCCTGCGTGAGGTGGGCAGCCTGGGGACAGCACAGCTGAGGGCACGGGCCGTGGGTTTTCTGCCCATCTTCCTCCCGGGTGCCAGCTTTGTGTCCTCAGGTTGGTCACTAAACCCCTCTGTGTTTCGGTGTCTCTCGCTGTTGGGATCAGATGGCACAATGGGTAGAATGTGTCCATCACAGTGCTCGGCACCCTGGCTAAGTTCTTGCTGGACACAAGAACTTGTGTCTGTGGTGACCTGCAGCGAGCACTTGCCAGTGTCCTCCATGCGCCCATGTGTGTGCCATTTCACACACACGTGCTGTCTGTCTGTTATCCCTGGTCACAGTAAGGTCTGCATGTTTCCCGTCTCAGCCACCTTCCTCGTCTTGCCCCTTACTGTTTCACAAGTCCGCCAGGCTCTTGGCTGCTCCCAGGCGTCCCCTGCACTCCCCTAGTGTGGGCTCCCCCGGTCCCTCTGCCTGGAAAGCCCCCGTGTTACCATAGTGATCCTACCTGCCCGGGAGAAGTGCCCTCACCCCTCAGAGTCCCCACGTCCTTCCTGAGGGCTCCTCCCTCCGTTGACCGTGCACACCTCTGGTCCTGCTTGATGCCCCACTCACCTCCGTGGGGCACTGGGCCACGTGGTCTCGGAGTGGAAGCCCCCCACTCTGCACGCAGTGGGGGGATTCCCGCAGGGTTGGGTCCTGTGTGTCTGACGCCCTGGCGCTGACTCTCAGGCGGGGTTTGAGTGAAGCAGTGGAGGAACGGAGGCCGGGCCTGCTCTCCTTCTCCACTTGGTCCCTGCTGTCTTTGTCCACATGCCCACCTCGTGGGCTCTCCGTCTCGAGGGCGGAGGGCATTTTGCTTTCTTGTTGTGTCGGATGGAATGGACTTGAATAATGTGGGGAGAATCAGAATGGCCCTGCATCCCACCACCAGCAGGTGAAGGCTGGACCCGCCAATCAGATGCAACGGCCGAGCTGGCGGTGAGTCCGGGACTGACCCCAAGTTCTGGCTCCCTGGCCACGTTGCCTTGGCTCCTGTCCGCCTTGTCCGAAGGCTGAGGGAGAGACCTGTCTCCCTCTGGGGGACTCTTTCGGGTCCCTGCCCCCAAGAACTCGAGACTGCTGTCCTGTGAGCCTCCGATGCCTCCCAGAGCAGAAGCTTATATCAGGTGCTGGGAGGAAGTGGCCTGTGGCTGCCGCTCTAGGGTCCCTCACCTCTGCTCTCCAGCAGCCTTGGCACTCACCCAGCACCTCCAGGACTCATCTTGGGGGCCCTGAGAACGCAGTCTGCTGACAGGTGCCTCCTTTGCCTACAGGCCAAGTACCTGGCCCAGATCATTGTGATGGGCGCGCAGGTGGTGGGCAGGGCCTTTGCCCGGGCCTTGAGGCAGGAGTTTGCAGGTAAGCTTGGGTTCCTGTCTCCCTGGGCTGGGAGATCCTGCTTGGGTCTGATTTTCCCAGTAGCTGTGGGCCCCCCCGCTCACGCCGGGCCACCTGTGAATGCAGGGACCCTCTGTGGGCTGTGTTCTGGCAGCTTGGGTAGCCTGGGACACTTACTGTTGGGGGCAGTGCTTGACCTTGGGACATTCACAGAGAAGGGAGACCTGATGGACACAAGCATCCAGCCAGGAGTGGGCACGCTGGCCCTCCTGCCCGCCTGTTTTTGCAAATAAAGTTTTATTGGAACAGTCAGCCACAGTCCAGTAATTGCAGCACAGACTAATTGACCTGCAGAATCTAAAATATATTCTCTGACCCTTTAAGCAAAAGTGTACTGGCTTCTGAATCGAGAGGTCACCCAAGGTGGCCTACTTCAGTGGCCTCTGTGACCACGGGGCCGCCGGGTCTCAGCTGTGCTGCCACCCCTGCCTGCAGCCTCACTCTGCTCCCCTAGCAGCCTAAGCTCCCCGACTTGCTGCGTGCCCGGGGTGAGAGGGTGGGGAAGATGAGGGACAGGGTCATCTCCTGGTCTAGGCTGGAGACCTGACGCGAGGTTTGGCCAGCCCCTGCCCCATCCTCCAGTGGGAAAACCTGTCCTCATTTGCCTACCCCACCCCCACCCCCAAAAATGCACTCCTGGAGAAGAGATGCCCCCCGGCCCTGCCTGTCTCTTCCCGCACCCCTTGACAGAGATGAGCTGCTCCCCCGGAAGGCCCGGGGCAGCCCTGGGCCGCTGGGAGCCAGGTGCTCACCTGCCTATCCACACAGCCAGCCGAGCAGCGGCGGATGCCCGGGGACGCGCCGGACACCAGTCTGCAGCCGCCTCCAACCTTTCAGGCCTTAGCCTCCAGGAAGCACAGCAGATTCTCAATGTCTCCAAGCTGAGCCCCGAGGAGATCCAGAAGGTGAGGCCCCTCCGGCCGGCTCAGAGATAAGCCGACCACAGTGGGGAGAGGGTGGCAGGCTGCCAGCTGGGGGGGGAGGGAAGGGGGCAGGAGTGGGGCCCTGGCCGCGGCCGGCTGGGGCTCGAGGCCACCGTCGTGCGTCGCTGTGCGGGCCGCGGGGGCGGAGGCACGGCCCGGCCTCACGGGCGCCTGTCCGCTTCCCCACCCCTTAGCGGCTCCCAGCGTTCAGCACGCTGCGTGGCGAGCCCTTGCGCTTTCCTTGTCATCTCCTAGCTTCCCCCGCCTCTGTAACCAGGGACTCACCGTCTCCCCTCTGCAGAACTACGAACACCTATTCAAGGTGAACGATAAATCCGTGGGTGGCTCCTTCTACCTGCAGTCAAAGGTGAGCACAGGGGCAGGGCAGGCCGGGGCCTCATCTCACTGGGTGTCCCTCACTTCTGGGCAGTTCAGAGCCTGGCAGGAGAAGGGTGCCCGGGGCTCGGGGGGCCCCCTGAACTGCCAGTCCCTGCCACTGGTGCTGTGTCGACCTGGGCCCTGTGTCACCCTGGACCGTGGCCCCCCAGCAGCCATGGCTTCGAAGGGCCAGGCTGACCTGCCCACGGCCCTCCAGGAAGCCGGAGCAGGACCTGGGGAGGCAGGGGGCACCCAGCCTAACTGTTCGTGACCCCCTCCCCAGGTGGTCCGAGCGAAGGAGCGTCTTGAGGAGGAACTCAGAATCCAGGCCCAGGAGGACAGGGAGAGACAGCAGCCGCCCAAAACGTGACCGCTTGTCTCCGCCCGCCCACCCGCCCGCCTCTAATTTATAGCTCAGTAATAAATGTCTTTTCCTCATTTCTTGAGTATGCATGTCCAGATTCCAGAGGCAGGCCGCTCTTCCTGCCAGCTGTGGGGCTGTGCAGGGAGGCGGGGCGGCGGTGTTCACCCGCCCATGGTCTGGCCTCTGACACCCAGCGGGGCCGGGGCAGGCGAGGATTGCTGGTCACGTACCGGACGGAGGGGCCACTCCCATGCCGCCCTCAGGTCGGCCCTGCCCGCGCTGCAGTGAATGGGGCCCCGGCTCTGCCACAGGCCTCCCTTTCCTGAGCTGGGTTTGGTGGTAGCCCCTCAGTAATCTGGGGGGTCAGCACCAGGGTGCAGCCGAGGAAGAGGAGCCTTTGCCAGCCTGATGGCCCCGAGGCCAGGGAGCCGGGCCCCTCCTAGAGCCAAGGTGCTCATAGTGGGTGCAGCTAAACCCACGACATGTGATCCAGAACCTTCCATCTCAGCACCATGCATCCCATCCTTTCGAGCTCCCAGCAGCAGATGGAGAGCTTGTAGCACCCACGAGGTTGGGAGGAAGCCCCAGTACAGGGCCTCGGCCTGGGTGGGGGACCCAGAGCCAGGCAGGAGGTGGTCTTCCAAGCATGGCCCAGCTCCTGACATATCTAAGACAAAGCATGTTTGTAACTCACTTTTATTTCATTTCTTTATAAACTTCCTCTCACATGGAGGAATATATTGTTATAGTCATTAGCTTATCTCTCTTTTCTTTTTTTAAACTCTATGCTAACAGCAATGGAGCCAAGAGGAGGAAAAACATAAGCTACGATAGAAAGGCACTTAGAACCTGTTAGAATACTGATATCCTGGAATGTGCAACAACAGACGGACAACAACGACACGCACACCGGCCCCCTCGGGCCTGGTCTATCACCGAGTCACATGCTGAGCTAATGTCGCCTTCCTATGCCCTGCTCCTCTGCTCCTGGGGCTTGCGTCCAACCCCTCGCCCCAAAGGGGACTTAAGGCCTGGGGCCCTCGTGGGGGTGGGGGGCCTGGGTCCGGGGCGGGGGGGCGTGAGGCAAGGAGACCAGCTCCCTCCTGCTCTGCTGGCGGCCCCTTCAAGGGGCAGAGCCAGCACTGCGGGCCCGTCAGCGGGCCAGGTCAGGGTGACCCCTCTGGGATAGAAGGGCGGTCCAGGAAAGGGCGGGTGAGCAGAGAAGCGTCAGGGAGACCCTGGGACCACATGGGGGCCAATGGTCCCCCTGCAGCCCCGCAGCTCCCCTGCCCTGCAGCTGGGACATGGAGGGTAGGGCCCAGGCCAGGGCCCCCCAGACTGAAACTGGGTCCCCGACAGGAGGGAGCATGAGGGCCCAGGGTGGGGCACGAGAAGAGCTACTGCCCTGTCGGGGCCTGGTGGGGAGAGCCTGGCCGTTGGGCCGGGGCAGCAGTGTGGGCTCCAGGGGCACATGGAGCCTCCGCACCCTGGGCTCCCCTGGTTCCCGGAGTGGGGACACGGAGGGCAGGGGCTCAGTTCAGAGAAGCCAAAGGAAGCAAGCCACACAGCCAGCTCTCCCCTCTGGCTTCCCCTGCCTCCACGGCCTCCGTGGCTGCCTTGCTGCCCCTCATCCCTTGTTGAGCCCAGATCCTTCCATCCGTCCATCCGTGGCCACTGGGACTCTCCCGTGCCTGGCACCGGCCTGGAGCCCCCCTCCCCTGCGCCGGCTCTGCCTTGGCGCCCCCAGAACAGAAGCCAGGTCTTGGCCCGGGGTTGTCCCTAGCCAGCCTCCCCACTCTAACTGCCCTGCAGGCCTCCACTGTCCCCGGGGCAGGGTCTCAGGCCAGGCCCAGCCCCGCCTGTTCCCTGAGCTGGGCACCTCTCCCGACTCAGGACTCCCTGAAAGCAGAGGGATGCGGAGGCAGACGAGCAGCCAGCCAGCTCAGAGCAGGGACCCCCACCTCGGGCAGTGTGCTGGCCACCGCAGACGGCAGGCAGTGGGGGGCAGCTGGTCGAGCGGGCCTCCCTCCCTCAGCCGGGAGGCACCTTGTCATGGGGGGAGGTGGCTTCTTGCTGTGGCTTAGCCGCGGCCTGCGTCTGTCTTGCTCTCCCTCTGGAGGGTAGACCAGAGGGAGAGGGGTCGGGAGCCTCCAGAGCAGGGGCCCAGTGAGTAAGCAGGATGGGGTGGAGCCTCGATCCCACGGGGCCCCTCCCAGCTCACCACTGAAGGCAGTAGGAGGGAGCCTGGGGCCAGCGGGGAGGGCCAGCGCCACCCCCAGCCCCACCCCCACTGCTGGGTCAGGGCTGGCAAGTGGGCAAGGGAGAGAGGGTGACCTGCCCAGCTGGCCATGGGATGAGGGAGACAACCAGAGTGGGTGGGGGGAGGGCAGGCGTGGACCGGAGATGAGCCAGGCCTCAGCTCCCAAGAGCACGGCTCTCCGCCGGCCAGCAGACCTGGTTCCCCCACCTCAGGAGCCTGGGTGCCCACAATGCCCTACTAGCACCATCCTTGCTGCCCAGGGGTGCCCCCAGGGCAGGAGGACATTATTGCTATTTCGCAGAAGAGTTTCTGTTCGTCGTCGGGGGCAGGCAGGCAGGGCTGGGAGCCACCGGCTGGGCTGCAGGTGGTCCGCGTCCTCTGAGCGGGTTCAGTTCACCACGGCCGGTTTGAGCAGCACGGAGCCCGGCGGGATGACCACCCAGCCGGGGGCGAGCGCCTCTGGGCTGCTGGCGGCTGAGTTGACGCCCGTGGACAGGTCCAGCACGGTGCCCGGCAGCAGGGGCAGGCCGTCGGGGCTCGGCCGGGAGCGGCCACCCTCAGTCCTCTCCAGGGGCGTCTTGCGGCCCTCTGAGCCCAGGGCCCTGGCCTGCACGGCCCCACGCCCCTTCTCCCCCTCGACCTTGCCGCCAGCGGAGCCAGCGAGGAGGGAGACCACGGGCAGGCCCAGTCCGCCGGCCCCAAAGGGCGAGGGCAGCAGCGGGTTCTTGGCCAGGTTGAGAGGCAGGACGGGGCCGGGCAGCCCAGGGCCCATGCCTCCCGCACCCCCGGCGCCCCCGCCGTTGCCACAGGCCAGGGCACTGAGGTCGAGGGGGCCGGGGGCCAGGGGCAGGGGCAGGCCGGGCAAGCCGGGGCCGCCGAAGAGGGCAGCGGGGTTGGGGATGATTATCTGCGCCCCGCTGACGTAGGGGCTGCCGTCGGGGGCGGGCAGCGGGGGCTTGGGGGGCGGGCGGAGCTGCAGGAGCTCGTGCTGCTCGTGGGACACAAAGTGGCCGTGGGCCTTGATGTGCTTGCGCAGCGAGCTGGGGTCCGTGTAGCGCTTGTGGCAGCCGGGCATCTTGCAGTAGTAGGGCTTGTCCACGTAGTGGGTGCGGGTGTGCTTGAAGCGGTCGCTGGAGTTGGAGTAGCGCTTGTTGCAGCCCTCGTAGGGGCACACGTAGGGCTTCTCGCCTGCGGGCCGGGGCGGGGCGGGGCCTGCGTCAGGGGCTTCCGCCCGCCCAGGCCAGCCCCACCCACCCACTCACCCGCCAGCCGAGACCGCCCCGAGAACGCAGGACCCAGCACCTACACAAGCTCTGCCTCTGGTGGCCTGGCTCTATGTACCCTCGGCCTTGGGCCTATGCTTCAGGCTGTGATGACAGCGACCCCTTTCGCAAGTAATGACATACAGGCCCTGCTGGTGCCTGGCTCACAGTGAGCGCGCAGCGGTGCCCTTGACCCACCAGGGCTTCCCTCGTGGCCCAGACAGAAAAGAATCCGCCTGCAATGCAGGAGACCGGGGGTTCAATCCCTGGGTCAGGAAGACCCCCAGAGAAGGGAATGGGAACCCACTCCAGTATTCTTGCCTGGAGAATCCCATGGACAGAGGAGCCTGATGGGCTACAGTCCCACAGTCCCCATGGCGGGGGTCCCAGAGTTGGACACGACTGAGTGACTAACACTCTCACTTCACTTTCACCAGTGGCTCCAGGTTTACTAAAGGGCTGTCCCCGCCGACCAGGGCTGGCCAGAACCCCACAAGCCTGTGAGCTTTTGAAAGTGCCTCGAGTATAAAATATACACCAGAGGGACTTCCCTGGTGGTCCAGTGGTTAAGAACCAAACTTGTAACACTGGGGACGTGGGTTCAATCCCTGGTTGGAGAACTAAGATTCCCACATGCCTCAGGGCAACTAAGCCTGCGTGCCACAACTACAGAGTCCGTGCGCTGGCAACGAACAATCTCTCACGATGTAACCAAGACCCGTGGCAGTCAAATAAATAAATAAAATACACCCCAGAGTCTGCAGACTTTGTAGGAAACGAAGAATTTCAGTGTCCCATTGATGTTTTAATATTAAAATGATTGCATTTTTAATATACTGGGCTCAATAAAATGTATCATCATATTAATAATTCATCTCACCATATATTTCTTTGTACTTTTTTTTCTTGCTATGTGGGTGATTCGGAAATTTAAAATTAGGCGTGTGGCTCTGCTGGCCAGTGCTGGCCCTACTGTGCATGCCGGGGTCCGTGAGGGGCGAGAGGACATGCCGCAGTCAGAGGGGGCACGAGTCGACAGCCACACGAACACAGTGCTGAGTGTGACGCAGGAAGACGTGTCTGTGCCCCAAGAGCGTGTGGCGGATCTCCCCCCAACAGGACAGGTGCCCCCACCCCCAGCAAGTGGTGCTCGGGGAGGGACGGCCACAGAGTGGGGTGCGCGCCCATCCCCTGGCTGCGGGGGGGGGGCCCTCACCTGTGTGTGACCGGTTGTGGATCTTCAGGTTCTCCAGGCGGGAGAAGCTCTTGCTGCAGGTGGGGCAACGGTGCGGCTTCTCGTTGGTATGCGTGCGAATGTGGATAAGCATCTTGTACCTGCTCCGGGGGGGTGGGCAGGGGGGAAGGGGGGTGGGGAGCACGGCTCAGCCGCTGGACACTCGGGCCCCCCTTCCCGCCCCCTTGCCCCCCCTCACCTGGCATTGAAGCCGCGGCCATGGCGGGCGCAGCCCTCCCAGTGGCAGCAGTAGCCCGCGTCCTTCTCGGGCTTCACGTGGTAGTCGTTAACGTGGTCCACCAGGTCTTGGAGGAGCTCGAAGGGCTGGTTACACTGTGAGGGCCAGGAGCGTGCTGAGCCCGCGAGGGGGCCACCCGCCCCGGACCCTGCCCCGCCCGGCTCCCTGCTCACCTTGGCCCAGCGACACACCAGCTGCTTGGGCAGGGGCAGCTCTGGCGAGAGGCACTTGTCCTTGGGGGGGGTGAGGAAGGAGGAAGCAGGCAGATGCAGGGCCCCCCCAGAGCCCAGCGGCAGGAAGAACTGGAAGGAGCTAGGGACACCGTCCAGGTAGCGCAGCGGCTGGAGGTCCTGGGGGACGCGGGGGGCAGAGCGGGTTAGCAGCTGCCCGCGGGCCCGCTGGCCCAGATCCCTGCCCGCCTGGCCCATCTCCTTCTGTCTGGGGGCTGAGAGATGCCCCACACGGGACAGGTCCCAGCCCCAGCCTCTGGTACCTATGCACAGGACCTCTGTGGAAAGAGTCTATGCAGACCTAAGTTTAGAGGTCAGGCTGGCTGAGGACCCTAAACCCAGTGACCAGTGTCTCCATAAGAGAAAGAGGGAGATTTGGAAACACACACAGAGGGGAGGAGGCCACGTGATGACAGAGGCAGAGAGGAGATGAGTGACACGGCCACAAGGCAAGGAGCGCCTGGAGCCACCAGAAGCCAGAGGCGGCCCGGGAAGAGCCCTCCAGAGCCTTGGGAGGGCGCAGAGCCCCATCAGCACTGTGATTCTGGACTTCAGCTTCCAGAATAATACACTGCTGCCATTTTAAACCATGCAGTTCGTGGTCCTTTGTAACAGTGGCCCCAGGAGGTAAGTTCACCGTCTTGAGAACGCGCGGCTCCCCCTTACCGTGCCGGCGGGCGCAGTGGGCAGGTCCCCATTGCCCTGGCGCTCAGGGGACAGCGAGCTGCTACCGTTAGGGGAGTCCAGCCCAGACGGCGGCGACAAGCTGAGGTCCACCAGGGGGGCTGCTGAAAAGCGTCCCTCCACCTTCTCGGGGAACTTGGGGTTCAGCAGGAAGCCTAGGGCAAAGGCAGGATTTGGGGGTACTGGAGCCAGGAGTCCCGGCAGGCCAGGCCCTCCCGCCCATGACTCCTCCACTGTGACTTGGAGCAGACGCTAGCCAGGGTGCCCCCATCCCCGGCCACCCCGGAACTCAGGAATCGGAGACTCCACAGCCGACAGGCATGACGTTCACCAAGGTGGGAGCCTGGCCATCAATTAAGACAAGAAGTACTCATTTTCAGATGGGGGTGGGCTGGCACACAGGGTAAATAACTGAACAGGAACTTGAATCCAGGGCCCCTGGCTCCCTTCACAATGTCAGGTAAGATCTTGACTCACTTTCCCCCCGGTCCCTTTCTGTCTCAGTGCCCCCTTCTGTAACATGAAAGGTTTGGGCTAAGTGGCCCAGCTCAGATACGGTAGATCTGGTTTTCAGGGTCCACATTCAGAAATGCAGCAGAAGACCTGCGCCTCAAGTAACCCCCTCACCCAGAGAAGCACCTGCTGGGCTTGGTCCCCCATCTGCCTGGCTGGCCGACCACACTGCCTCAGAGCCCAGACGCGGGGCCACAAGGCCTTCTGTTACTACCTGTGCATCCCCTGCTGCCCTTTAAAGCTCCCCCAAATCCACCCAGAGGCCTCAGTCTGAATACTAGCTCTGCTGAGCCAGCTTCGGGAGCTGGGCTGGTCAGTCCCCTCCTCCCAGGGACAGTGTCTCCTGCAGAGATGAACTGCTGAGAGGGTGGGCAGACAGTGTCGGTGGGGGGGCACCCTAAGTGAGTCTGTGAGGGGCTGCGACAGCATCCAGGTGGGCCCATCGGGGGACATTTTTTCCTATCACCAGGGCTCTGAGATCACTGATCTGCCTGGGCGTGCAGTACCTGAAGGCGGGGAGCCTGGGGACCCGGGCGTGGGGCTGTCATCCGCCAGACCAAGCTCCCTGTGCAGGGCTCGGTGCCGGGCTGCGCTCAGCGTCCTCTCCCGCTTCTCTCTCGCCGCCCGGAGCTTGGTGATGCTCAGCTTCAGGTCGAGCGGCTCGTCCAAGGAGTGCATGGTGGTGGGGGCCGGGGGGTGGGGGCGGCAGCAGGCAGCAAGGGGCTCCGGAGCTGGTATTCAGGCAGGAACCTGAGAGCAAGCAGGAGCTGTGCTGTGACACTGGGACCCCAGACTCGTCCTCAGGCTGTGCCCACTAAAGGCCACAGGAGCAGAGAGGCAGTGGGCATGGGGCAGTGTGAAGGCTGTCTCCTAGGCACAGAGACACTCTCGGTGGCCCCGGACAGCAGGTGTATCAGAGAGAGCCAACCACCGACCTGGATCTAATGCGTTCACTTCCCGCAAGGCTTTCTGGGAAGCAAAGCTCACAGGGTCCAAGCCTGCCATGAACGAAGCTTTAGCGACAGCTTCAAGCTGCGGAGCTAGGCAGTCGCACAGCCTTCAGACTCAAGGCCAGATCTTCTCCCTGGAACTGGCCATGCCAGTCCCAAAGGTCATTTCTGACTGTGTGGGAGGTCATGCCTGGGACACATGCCTGATTTGAGCTGGAAGACCCAGAACCAGGCCAGAAGGGCAATGAGTGTCCTCCCAGGTAGCCCTCAACAGGCCTAGGTACTGACCACTGGACCAACCCCTCTAGGCAGCCCGCTAGGCAACTCTAAGGGAATGAGACCCAGAGCCTTTCCCAGGCAAGCCTTGCAAAGCTCGGCCTGGTCCCAAGGGCTGGGCGGACAGACGGGTGGCCTTGAGTTCCAGGGCAGAGGGCCCCACAGGCTTGGGAGCCAGAGGCTCTGGGCCACCACCAGGGGGCAGCTGGGGACCACGGCCCAGCCAAGGCTAGGGGAGGGGGAAGCGACCAGCTGTCTAGTGGTTAGTAAAACACATACATACATAATTTTTAAAATAGTGATGATACTCTTATTTTGAGTGGTGCATTTTCACTGCTTCCTTAGAATTTCTCAATGGCGTAACATTCTTCACATGTTAAAAAAACCCAAGAGGAAGATCAACTCTTCATTCCAAACTCAAACATCATTTTTTAACAGCAGCACGCTTTTTTAACTTCACACGCTGGGAAACGCTGTTTCCCTGTGTTTGTTCATTGAGATGATTGCACCCTGACAATCTATCTGCCAAACAAGATAATCCCTGCCGTTCACCAAATCCAGTTCTTCACAATTTTATACAGAACATCCCAAGACCACCACTTGGTAAAAGACTCTATTTTTCACTAGTGTGTGTGCTTGCTGAGCTGCCTGGAGCTCTTTTCATGGAGTAGGGAACCCATGTTCCCAGTCATCTTCTCCAGGACAAGCCCCGAGGCAACGCTAAACCAGCCTTGCCCCAGCTACAAGCCTCCGCTCATTTATCTCCCAGACAAGACCCTGTGTGCACACAGGTCACAAAGTCCTCACTTACAGCCCTCTGCTTCTGAGGACACATCCCAAGACCCCAGCACATGGCAAAACAACGCTGGAGTCTCTGAGCCTGGGGAGGGGGCTGCATTATCAGAGTATTGGTGGTTGGCCGTGGGACTGAAATCTGTGACTTGACTTGTCCCTCCATCAGGTGGGAGCTGACAGGTCTGTCTGGATGAACCTGCAGGGCATGCATAGGTCGGGAGTTCTCAGTGATGCCAGGGGCTGGGACCACACTGCCACCTTGTCCCCTTTAGGAGCTCCAGCCCTAGACAGGCAGGTGGGTGGGTGACAGTGATAAATGGACCTGGGTCCCCTCCACTCTTCCTCTGTCTAGGCAGGGAGCTGCCCTCTGCCTGACACCCCCCCCCCCAGTGATGTCTGTCTGTCTGTGTGTCTGCCTGTCCCTCCACCTGTTTATTTTTAGACACAGGCCCAGTCCAACCTCCCTGAAGCTCCTCTGTGCTGGGAGCCTGGAAGGGGAGGGAGGAAGGAAGTAAATATTTATGCTGATTAAGAATTCAGGAGCCAGGAAGGGCTGGTGGCCTGGTCCTTCAGCTGGCTTAGGGCCACAGGCCTCCCCACAGCCTCTGTCCCCCGCCCCCCACCCGATCTCTCGGAGAAGACCACAAGGGCAGGATGGTTTGGGAACTGGGAATTCAGACTGACACTGACTCTCACCGGAGACACTGCTCAAGTAACATCCTTCGGCACCTGCCTACTGCACCCCAGTCCACCCCAGGTCCCTGCCAGAGGGGAATCAGGGAGGAACCATGGGTCAGCTCGTTTTGGGGACTTGCAGAAGACACTGCCTCAGCTCAGAAAGAGGGAGGACCCCAAAAGGAGCTAGTCTCCCAGGGTGAGGCTGGGACTCCAGCACCCCCTGAATCAGCAGACCCAGTCCCCAGAAACCTAACCTCCCCACTTCCTGCCACTCCTAGGAAAGGAGGAAGGATCAGTCCCCCAAACCCACAGCTCCCAGCACTCCCCCACCCCAGGCTGTCCCCATCCATCCAAGGGAAATTCGCCTGTGACCCTCCTTCCTGCTTTGACCGTGGCCAATCTGGAAGTGGCCCCTTTCACCCCCCACAGGCAGGGGGGTGGCCAGGTCTGGGCTCCGGCTCTGCTCTTTGTTCCCGGGTTGGATGAAGGGGGGCAGGCGAGAGCTACTGTCACTTCTCTTGGGCCTCAGAGGCCCTGAGCGGGACGTACCAGTCCCGGGGTTCTGGCGCGGCAATCACCCCTCTGGAGGCCGGCCAGCCAGCCATCACCAGATTGATTTTTGGGGGTGGGCGGGTGGACACTCGGTGTTTGTTTTCCGGATAAGGCCAGGGACCCGCCTCACCGAGAGCAGAGGCAAGTTCCTTAGTCAGCGCGAAGCCCAGAGAGGACCGGTGCCCAGCGGGTGCCGCTCGGAGCCCGGCTGCAGAAGCCCCGGCCCAGTTTCCCGCTAGTCGCGAGGTGACCCCACGAGCGCCCTGCTCCCGCGGGGTCGTGCGATCCCCGAGCGCTGGAGGGGGCGGTTAGGGAGGCAGCGCCGAGGTGGCCGCGCGGCCCGGGCGCCGTAGCTCCAGCTGCGAAAGGAACTAATTAGGGCGGAGGGAGCGGGAGGAAGCGGCGCGGAGCGCAGCGCGCGGGGACCACCGGGGCGGCGGGGGCGGGGCGGGGTCACCCCGAGGGTGGGCCGCGCTGGCCCTCGGGGGGCCGGCCCCCGCCCCGCCGCGCCCGCCGGCCCGGCGCAGACAATGGCCGCTATTGTGCGCCCGCCGGCCGCGCGCAGACGGCCCCCAGCTGCAGCGCCCGCAGCGCCCGGGCGGCCCTACCTGGCGGCGCGGCCAGCCCCCGGCGGAGGGGCGGGGCGAGCGCGCGGCAGCCCCGGCCCCCAGGGAAACTGAGACCCGGAGAAGGCCCCGCCTCCACCAGGTCGGGCGGCGAGGGGCGGAGCGCGGACCCTAAAAGGGCGGGGGTGTCTTTATCTACCACGCTCCCACCATGTGCCGGGAGCCATCTGTGCGCCCCGAACCCTCTAACGCCGCTTCTGTTGAGCACAGATGAGGAAACTGAGGCTCAAGGTCACCAGGCTAATAGGAGCCGCTGGCAGGACTCTGTCCTGGAGAAAGCCACTCGTCCCTGCATGGGAGAGGCCCGCTAGCTGGCCCCAAGCCGGGAGAAGGGCCAGTGTGGCTGGAGGCATTGAGCTCGGCACACCCCACTGAGAGGCACTCGGGGTCTCCTTGGCAAAAAGAGAGGACAGGGCCCGCTATAAGATGGCCCCCACCGTCCCGCCCACCCACAGCTGCGAGGAGCCAGGTGAGTGGAAGCCAGGAAAGCAGTGTTGTCAGGCAACAAGAGGCACACCCCTTATTCCCGGGTGATGGGGGTGGGGGTGGGTGGGGGGTAGTCCTGACTCTGCCCTTTGGTCAGCCATGACCTGTCCAGCCTAGGACTTGGGGACAAGGGCCCAGGAGGCACTTCTCAAAAGTCCACGTGGCTTTCTTGCTATGGAATGAAAGCAGAAGCAAGTCCCTGGCTTCCCCTGTGCCCATCGGCTCCCACCTGCTCGGAGGAGGTCTGTGTGTCTGGTACAGGGACCAAAACCATCCGCGCAGGGGTCCTATGGGGGGCGCTGAGGGCCGGGAGGGGAGGCCGCTGGCCCACACTGCACGGGTGGGCGGCAAGCCTGGGACCGGAGGCCGAGGACGAATGTCGCCACCATCCAGCAGCTGTTGATAGTCGGGCAGCGCACCAGCACCTGTTTAAGTCGAGTGCTGCTTCATCCCCACTTTACAGATGCAAAAACCAAAGCCTGAACTGTCCCGCGTCACACAACTTGTCTCTGGCAGAGCTGAGTTTCAAGCCCAGGTGGACCCAGAAACCGTGTTCACCCATCAGCCCCCTGGGGGCCCCTGGATGTGGGAAGGGGCAGGCAAAGGGGTTCTGGCTTCCCACCCCCTGCCTGCCCAGGGGTTTGTGGGAGCTGCATGCCGAACCCCGAGGGGCAGCAGGCAGTGAGTGGGCACTGGAGGGGCCAACTGTTGGGGGGCCCACAGGGAGGCTTGGAGAGCTGACAGCAAACGTGCTGCCAAAGCAAACGGCCCCACAGCCCCGCATTCCTGGGAACCGCTGCTGCACCCTGCTCTGGCCAAGGGCTCCGCCCTCCTCAGCCGCCCAGCGGTGGGAGCCAGAGGCAGGGGCAGGCCTCATCTCCTCCTCGGACCCCGCTTCCTGAGCAGGCTGCAAAGCAGGGCTCCAGTATGGGTCCGACCACCCGGTCTCCAATTTGGCTCTGCCACGTCCTGCCCACGTGAGTCAGGGCAAGTCACCTCCCAGTCTGGGTCTCATTGTCCTCATCTCCAAATGAAGATGATGATAATACTGCAGGGAGTGGCACCCCACTCCAGTATCCCTGCCTGGGAAATCCCGTGGACAGAGGAGCCTGGTGTGCTACATCCAGCCCATGGGGGTCGCAAAGAGTCAAACATGACTGAGCGACTAAACACACACACAATAGTGTGAGACGCCCCCCCTCCATTGGATTTTGGGGAGAAATCAATACGATGATGCCCATCCAATGATTACTTTAGTGTTTCCCTCTGTTATATAATGTTCAGCACCTAGAACAGTGCCAGGTGCATAGTAGGA